GCTAGATGATTCAGAGTCAGAGCGACATTGGTCATGCAGAAAATGCTGAATCAAAGTCGTGAAGTTGGGTTGACCTATCTGATTTGCAATGAGCTCTGGGTAGATCCGTTTGGCTGTAGTAAAGTGTATGGTGAGCAGAAGCATGCAGGTATGCACAAAACTACTTACCAGCTGTCTTTGCCAGGTCAACATGGGCAAGTAGTACTGTTGGCCCATCAATGGCATTGGTGTCAGGCTCAGCGTTGGTGTTACCCTCATCCTCGTCTGCATGACCTTCGGCATCATTAGTTGCATGATGGTAGCGTCCAAAAGGCTCATCCTGGTCTGGGATATCTCGTTCAATGTGTGCTTCCAATGGAGTGTTTAGTATCCCTGTAAATTGTGAAGGTGGTGATTAGCGTTGGCGAGCCCAGCATCATGAAAATCACATACCAAGTTTGTTGAGGACGTATGACAAACACGTCCCTCGTAGCATCCCATGGTCAGTAAAATCAACACATGAAGCGGCTAGCTTGTCGAGACATTGATTGGTAAGTAACATTTGACTGAGAGCTTCGAAACGACTCGACCGGCGCCATGGCTCCTTGACAGCTTTAATGTGTTTGGACTCTGTAATAGACAAACAAAGCCCATTTGGTGCGCCGAACGCTTGAATGAGCTTATGGTAATGGATGAGTGAATGCTGTCAAGGGAGATTAAATCCTTTGGGTCAAACACCGGATGTTTGGAATATCTCGCGGTACCTGTGGAAACGCTTCAAGGCGTCATCCATTGCGTCGAGGCTGTTAGAGCTGATGATGTTGCGATGAGCGATGTAGATGAAGTCGAGTAACGCTCGCAAAGCCTGTACCATTTCTGTGGGTACGTGACCTTTGATAGCAGGTATGTAGACCTGTGTAGTAAATGTGCATTAGAAATATTAGTACTGTTGCTATGAAAATAGAGGAATATCGGTACAGACCTTCATGAGAGCTTTTGAGTCGTCACCAGTCCACTGTTTGAATCCTCTACCCTCTGGAAATCGTCGAAGGCCTGCAAACACCGGAGCTAGAGCGATGCTAGTAGTGTGCCACATGTTCAGCAGCAGCAGCAGCCAAGTGAATTTGAAGATAAACTTACCGATGGTCAATGTCGTCCAGTATCTTGTTTGCATTGGCTTCTGTATATCAAGCCTCAATGTAGTCGTGCACCCACTTAACTAGGTGGTCCTTGAATGCTCCCTTGATGAGCTGGTGTAAGATATCTGGGGAGAGGAGCTCGTGTATGTCGGCGTGTGGAAAGTAATTAGTGAATGGCTGTATGAATAGTGTAAGTTCAAGTTGTGTGTAAATGGGAAAGAGACGAGTAGATAAAGTATTGTACACACCACAATGTCTCCAACAAGGCCGTATTCATCCCACAGAACACCTAGTTCAAATTCCTCAACCAAAACTTCGGTGTGATCGCGGGAACATTGGCCATATGTGCCTTCATCGAGACCATCTGCTGGTGCAGTGCATCTGCCGGTGTAAGTAATAGTTAATAGCACCATAGTCCTACTTAGCATAGGGACACGAAGAATACTAAGACAAACACGTACTTTGGACACCAATTTTGTACAATACATGCAAGCAGTGCTTGCTCGGGATAGTCAGCTATGTATGGTCCAAGACCATACACAGCTCGTCGAAAGTGGCCATCAGGGCAACGGACAACATCCGGTTTGGTCATGCCAGGTTTGAGGGTTTCAAGCATTTTTGCGAGCAACGAGTGTAGAAGCTGGCGGCGGAACTTTCGGAAGTGTGCATCCTTGGTGGCTTCATTATCAGCTAATTTAATCAGTACCACATTAGTAACAGCAGCGCACACGAGCCCCTTCAGTGACAAATTCCGTATTATACGGGCCACCCGACCTACATAATATCCCGTATGAGACGGGCCAGCGGATTATGGGCCCATGTTGTGTATATTCTCGATGATGACGGATGGGCCGGGACACATATTATTTCCGATGGAGACGGGTGGGCCCATGTATGCCAATGATATATATATCCTTGATGTTGACGGATGGGCCGGGGGAATATGATCATTCATGGAGATGGGTGGGCCCATCAGGGTAATATGTAGAGTAGGATATTATAGACAGCTGGGCTGAAGAGAGATGTAAGGCAAATATTGTTATATAGACGGGCGGGCCGACGGGGGTGTATTACATATATGGGTGGGCCGAGGTAAGGGAATATTACATAGATGGGTGGGCTGACACGGGGTGTATTACATATACAGGTGGGCCGACATAAAAAGTATTACATATACGGGTGGGCCGAGGGTGTGATAAAATATTTATTACATAGACAGGTGGGCCGAGGTGGGGTATAATTATATAGACGGGTGGGCCAACATAGGATGTATTACATAGACGGGTGGGCCGACGTGGGGGATAATACATAGATGGGTGGGCTGACGTGGGGGAATTGTACATAGATGGGTACATATATGGGTGAGCCTAGATACGTATAAATGTCAAATTTTCAGTGCAAAACCCCAAACCGAGATTTACCAACCCCCGAACCCCAAAATTGTGGACTGCCGGGTCTCGGGTTTCGGGGTTCGGGGGTCCCGGAACTCGGAACTCGGTATGTGAGACAACAAAAATATATTTCAAACACAGGTAAGTCAATGTGTTTGTCAATCAACTTGATTGTAAATTATATTTTATTAATTTCCCAAGTTCCGAGTTCCGAGCTCTGGGACCCCCAAACCCCGAACCCCCAAACCCAACAGTCCACAATTTCGGGGTTCAGGAGTTGGTAAAATGTGTATGGATAGATGAAAGGTTGATTTAAACATTTTTGAAAGATGTCCCATATGAAATGTTAAGTCCCGAGTTTTGAACTCCGGGTTTCAGGACTTCAGGCTTCGGGACTCGGCACTCCAGAAACCTGGAAATCGAAACTTGGGACTTGACATTTCATATGGGACATCTTTCAAAAATGTTTAGATTAACCTTTCATCTATCCATACACATTTTACCAACTCCCGAACCCCGAAATTGTGGACTGGCGGGTGTCGGGTTTCGGGGTTCGGGGGTCCCGGAGCTCGGAACTCGGAACTCGGAACTTGGGAGATTTGGGGAGATCAATAAAATATAATTTACAATCAAGTTGATTGACAAACACATTGACTTACCTGTGTTTGAAATATATTTTTGTTGTCTCACATACCGAGTTCCGAGTTCCGGGACCCCCGAACCCCGAAACCCGGGACCCGGCAGTCCACAATTTTGGGGTTCGGGGGTTGGTAAAATGTTTATGGATATATGAAAGGTTGATTCAAACATGTTTGAAAGATGTCTTTCATCTCAAAAATTGAGTCCCGAGTTCCGGGTAAGACATCTTTCAAACATGTTTGAATCAACCTTTTGTATATCCATAGACATTTTACCACCCCCGAACCCCAAAATTGTGGACTGCCGGGTCTCGGGTTTCGGGGTTTGGGGGTCCCGGAACTCGGGACTTGATATGTGAGACAACACAGATATCTTTCAAAAGTTTGTAAATCAAATTTATTGTAGATCAAATTTTATTGATCTCCCCAAATTTCCCAAGTCCCGAGCGCCGACCCCCGACCCCCGAGACCCGGCAGTCCACAATTTCGGGGTTCGGGGGTCCCGGAACTCGGGACTCAATATGTGAGACGACACAGATATCTTTCAAAAGTTTGTAAATCAATTTGTTTGTAAATCAAATTTATTGTAGATCACCCCCGAACCCCGAAATTGTGGACTGCCAGGTCTCGGGTTTCGGGTTTCGGGGGTCCCGGAACTCGGGACTCGATATGTGAGACGACATATCTTTCAAAAGTTTGTAAATCAATTTGTTTGTAAATCAAATTTATTGTAGATCAAATTTTATTGATCTCCCCAAATTCCCAAGTCCCGAGCACCAACCCCCGACCCCCGAGACCCGGCAGTCCACAATTTCGGGGTTCGGGAGTTGGTAAAATGTTTATGGATACACGAAAGGTTGATTCAAACATGTTTGAAAAATGTCTTTCATCTCAAAATCGAGTCCCGAGTTCCGGGTTAGTGCTGAAGCTTGAAACTTGAAATCAGTGGAAAATGAAATCTCGCAACAATGTACACATGAAGATGTTTCATTTCCTTTGACAATTCACCGAGTGTCTTGTACTAACCTGACAACACAGTCTGGGCTTCAGGCTTCAGGGCTCGGTACACGACACTCGGGGAATTGTGAAATTTCTATTTTCTTGGACATTTCACTGAGTTCCGAGTTCCGGGCGCCGAATTCCGAGTTCCGAGCGCCGAGCTCCGAGTGCCGAGTGCTGAAGCTCAAAACTTGAAATCAGTGGAAAACGAAATCTTGCAACAATGTACACATGAAAATGTTTTATTTCCTTTGACAATTCACTGAGTGTCTTGTACTAACTCAGGGAATTGTGAAATTTCTATTTCCTTAGACATTTCACTGAGTTCTGAGTTCTGAGTGCCGAGTTCCGAGTTCCGAGTGCCGGATGCTGAGTGCTGAAGCTTGGAACTTGAAATCAGTGGAAAACAAAATATCGCGACAATGTACACATGAAAATGTTTCATTTCCTTTGACAATTCACCGAGTGTCTTGTACTAACCTGACAACACAGTCCGGGCTTCAGGCTTTGGGTTTCAGGGCTCGGTACATGACACTCGGGGAATTGTTTATGGAAATGAAACATGTTCATGTGTACATTGTTGCGAGATTTCATTTTCCACCGATTTCAAGTTTCAAGCTTCGGCACTCAGCCACTGGTCGGTAGTCAATATAGGCAAATGGTAATGAAAAATGAAAGTTGTTATTACGCTTAACTTCCTTACCGAAGGTTGTAGTCCGAGTCTAGGGGAGTGTATTGGTAGTCTTTTCTTGTCCATCAGTTATCATTTAACCGAGATATAAGCTAAAGAAATCTGAAACATCAGCAATAATGAAAAATGAAAGTCATTATTATGTTTAAGTTCCTGAACAAAAATTGTAGTCCGAGCCAAGGTGAGTGTATTGGTAGTTTTTTCTTGTCAATTGGTTATCTCGTTACTCGGTACTCGGTACAAGGGAATCAGTACTTGGTATTTGGTTCTGATACTCAATACCCGAGAATCAGTAGTCAGGTACTCGGTACTCAGTTCTGATACTTGGTACCTGAGAATCAGTAGTCAGGTACTCAGTACTTGGTTCTAATTCTCGGTACCTGTGAATCAATAGTTGGGTACTCCAGCCAATAGTCCTGAGTCCCAAGTACTGATACTTGCTATTCAGTAGTCAGGTTTGGAACTTGGGTCTTGGTTTGGTTATCATTTGACTGAGATATTGGTAGGCAATATTGGCACTCGGAGCTCGAATACTGACTATCAACTAACAAGTGTCAGGACTTGGTAATCGGTAGTTGAGACTTGGTGCTTAAATGGATATTGCATATATACATAAAAATACAAAATATGTTCCTATGTGTTCATTTCTAGGTGAATAGACTTTGAAATTATATCTCAATCATCTATTCAACAATAGAAACAATGTATCAGGAGCTCAGGACCATAGGGTAATCCTTTATTGTATAGTGTACCTCCCCCTCTTCTGGTGGTTCACCTGCTGGGGTTTTTTCCCTGTAGGACTGGACCTCAAGGACTGTAGGGAGTCTATTCCTGAGCATATTCGGAGTAGATATATCATATAACCAGCCCAGGACACACAGGATCCTTTTCCAGGAACAAAGCATAGACAATTGCACTTGTGACATTTTTTCACGATTTTCAGTATCTTGCCCTTGCATCCATGATCCAACCTTTTAATATATAATGAGCATAGCTTATATTCTTGCTTCTTATGACCAAGATCAGCTCACAATAGGCTGGAGTTTGTGAGCTAGCGTGTATACTTGCCATTTCACCTGATAAGGGGCCCATGCCTTCAAAACATTGAATCTTCATAATCAGAAACCTGGGGTACATTTCAAATATCTTAAGTATCATAGACATAAATTTACAGACAAATCAACCAAGAATTGAGTACTGAGGAAGTGAAATGGGTAAGAAATTGAGTGTGGGAAACTTCAAAGACCCAAAGCATCGAAAATGGTTAGTTGAGCAGTGGTAGGACTTTAATGCTGGGTCAACTCATATTTTCACTATATCCCTTCTACCCACCCCCTACCCTCAGGGCAGTAGGCAGTATGGGTTCCTTGGGTAGTTTATGATCTATCCTACATATTTGTAATGATATTTTCAGCCTGAATCATATATAAATGTGACTTTGTATAAAAGATGTCTATTGTCACTCTCCACACATATGTCATTTTGCCTATCATTACATCAATCCTTCATGAATCTTTCTAAGCTTTTAAGCTATTATAATGGATGTATATGGGTGTTATTCCAGGTCTCTGATCACATCACAGGCTTGTTATGTTGGATATCTCGACATAATGTGCAAGTCTCGCTATTAATATTCATTCTTTTATCTTTAGACTCACTTACTGCACACATGTATTTCATTTGTCATTATTGATGTTTCGGATTTCTTTAGCTTATATCTCGGTCACCTGGTAACCAATGGACAAGAAAAGACTACAAATAAACTCACCTAGACTCGGACTACAACCTTCATTAAGCTGACTACTGATTCCCGGGTACCGAGTATCAAAACCAAATACTGAGTACCAATTACCATGTACCGAGTACTGCATAATGAGTAACAAGATAACCAATTGAC